ATAATCATATACATTGTATATTGACAAAATAAAAATTAAAAAAAATAAATAAATAAAGTGCAATAAGCAAAAAAAAAAAAAAAAAAAAAAAAAGCCATCCCTTGCTTTATCTTCTTTCCACTGCCCAGTTCCTATAACACACTTTTAATACTTCTTGCAGTCTCTTCTTGAAGTTGCCTAAATAACACTAAGAAATATGCCTAAACTGCTATTTTCAATAGCACTTTCTGCTATGGTGGATAAGTGGTTCTCAAACAGGGGCAGTTTTGCTTTCCAAGGACCACACTGAGAGACTTTTTTTTTTTGTCACAATTCGGGGGAGAAGGGCATATGACTGGCATCTGATTGCTACTAGCAAGAATGCTGCTAAGCGTCCTATTATAAACAGGACAGCCCCCACAACAAAGAATGATCTGGCCCAAAATATCAAAGTGCTGAGGTTGAGAAGCCCTGTGGTATGTGAAGATTTAGCTTAGATCCATCTTCCCAACCTACACATATAGTTAAATTGCTACTTTAGTTAAGTCAGTAATTAGTGTTTACATTGTTGTTATGTATATATTGTTAGCTGTAGAACCACTTTGTGACTGTGATTACATTTCTTTCACTGTACAGCTTTTTAGTTTTTCTGGAGTTATTAATTGCCTCATTTTCAATCCACATATTAAAGTTCTTTCCCAGCTCTTTATGATACCAAAAGCTTTTCTTGGGTCTCTCTTTTCCCTAGATTCAGTACTTCTAAAACCTTTTGGGGCCAGCCCCATAGCGCACTCGGGAGAGTGTGGCGCTGGGAGCGCAGCGACGCTCCCGCTTCGGGTTCGGATCCTATATAGGACTGGCCGGTGCACTCACTGGCTGAGCGCGGTGCGGGCGACACTAAGCCAAGGGTTGCGATCCCCTTGTCGGTCTCAAAAAAGCCAAAAAATAAAAAAAATAAAAATAAAAAATAAAACCTTTTGTTTTCCTGCTCCAAGCTGATTGTTCATTAGATCTAAGGCTCAGCTGTCACCTTAGAATTTTTCTCTATCACTGTTAGGGTAGGATCTATTGTTTCTTAGATTTTGTGGCTTTCCCTCTTATTTTTTTCCCATTTGTTTAGCTGTGGCACACCTTCCAGTCATTTTCTTAGAAAGAATACACTGAAGGTAAATTTTAAGTCTTTGCATGAGTGTCTTCTTTGCCCTCATACTTGATTGCCAGCTTGTTTGAGTATTGGATCTTAAGTTGGAAATAATATTCAATCATAATTTTAAAGACATTCTGTTGGGTTCTGAGAGTGTTGCTGAGAAATCTGATGGCCTAATCCATTATTGGTCCTTTTAAAAATGCCACCTGTTCTTTTATTATTCAAAGTATTTAGGGTCTTCTATTTATCATTTATCTTCTCAAATTCCATGATGCTCTTTGGTGTAGGTCTTTCCATCCATTTTGCAGAGTGCTCCTGAGATCCTCTAATCTAGAAAATGCTCTTATATATTACTGATAATTTCCCTCTCTACATTTTCTCTTTCTGGAAATCTTATTGGCAAAATGTTGGACATCCTAGATTGATTTCTTAAGTCTCTTTTTTTTCCTTTCATATTTTCTATCACTTTGGAAGATTTCTTTAACCTTCCAAATCTGCTATTTATATTTTGATGTTATTGACTATCTTTTTCATTTACATTTTTGTCCTTCATTGGTCCTTTTATAGCATCTTGTTCTTGATTTTTAGATGCTTTCTGAGGACACTGGCTAGTTTTTTTTAAGTTTATTTTGGTTGCCTACATGATCTCTCTTTTTTCTGAGTTTTATTTTTATGTTCCTTTATTTCAGTCTTCCATATTAGAAGTTTTTTAAATGTAGCGAGTGATCCTTGATTGAGTATTTGGTTTTGGAGTGAAGTCTGGAGCTTAGTGGATACCAGTGGTGAGATTACTTTAAGGTAGTTGTAAGGGAGCTGAACATTTTTTTGTGGAAGTTCCTAATGTCAACATATGGAGGCCTTTGCTCTTGGATTATGGTTTTCTACCAAAGTGATATCTCTGGTCTCCTGGTATGTTTGAGGGTAGTGTCCAACTACCTGCATGGTGCATGTGGAGCTGCGGAAGAGTCTCCACAGGCAGACTGTTAATTTTTCTATTTTTGATATGGCATGTTCCTGCCTTGACCTGCTACCTCTGAGTCCTGAGCTCTGTTATCAAATATCTCCAGAAGCTGAACCTCAATCTCTTGTCCAGATGTCTTCCCCTCATATCTCCTTTGCACATCATCCTAAATCTTATTAAATTCTTGCTTGAATTAAAATTATACTTGCATGTTCCGGCCTTCCCTGTCAGACTGTGAGTCTGGAAGGACTTGATCTTATTTCTCTTTGAGTCTAACATCTGGCAGGAAATTTGGAAGTGCTCAGCAAACGTTTGCTAAATTGAAGTAAATTGAATTTTGGCCATATAGCCTGCTTTTCAGTTCCAAATTCTAGGACAAAGTCTGACTTGCTTTTTGTTCTTCCTCTCATGCATGCTGGTTAATTTGGACATAGGACACTTGTGAGCTTTTTGATAAAACCTAATATAATTCAGTTTATCGCCTTACTCTGTGATTCTAAATGGTTTTAAAACTATTTTTTTAAAAAAAATAAAATGAAAGAGAAGTAAAAGAACTTCTGATATTTTAATTGTTTATGTCAACTTGATGGTCTACTGATATATGGGAATTTCTGTTTTTAAATATTTGGTGGCATTAGAGGAATTACCTGAGTTTACTCTGCACCGTGCTTGTTGGTTTTTGTATTGATTGCTATTAGTTAATTTGACCTGCAGTAATGCTTTCCATAATCTGCTGGGCTTCAGTCAGGTTTTGATAATTAGGGATACGTACAGAGCAAGACTGGATGTTGACTTGTGTTCTCCACTCTGTTTCTTGCCTTCATCAGCCTAATCTGGATAATTAGCCCTAAGTACATTTCTCTTGGCAGATTCAGGAATTTGGAGGTCTACTGAAAGAGTCATGAAAGCTTGGTGTTAGGGTGTGTATGTAGTTTTGCATTATTCCACACCAGGAAATTTGGTTGAAGTGAAAGAAAAATCTCAGGCTGGAAGGACGATGAGTTAAGTCTCAAATCTGTCACTCACTAGCCCCTCAGTGTTCTGAACTGGAAAATGATAGCGTAATCCCTGCCTTTCCCTGACTCTTAGGCAAAGATAAAGGTGAAAGAGACAGAAAAGCCGATGTACAAACTTTCTTTTGTGACAGAAGATCATGTACACTTCTTCCTACAGTTTAGAAATGACCTACCACACCTGAAGCCATCAGGTGCAGAAGATCCATCTGATCTGACTCAACCTTTGGATCACTCACCGGGGAATTTCCCACTTTGTGTCTTTAAACCAGGAACCCAGCAGTGGAACTTTGTGGTGAGTTGTCCTTTCTTCCTTCTGAAGCTCTATGCTCCTGTGTTGGTTAGGGACTGTGTTTAACAATTTATTCAAGACATATTTATCAAGTGCCAACTGTATGTTTGTTGGTTGGGGATGACAGAGTGGCAAACAAAACAAATGCAGTGTGTACCCTTGTGGAGAGAGCAGCATCATGGGAGAATGGCAGTGCAAGGGCTCTGAGGCCAGAATGAGTCTGATGCATGAACAGCTGGGCATCTGGAGTGCAAATGGAGGGGAGGTGAATGCAGCAGCTCATTCAGGAACTTGTGGGCTGGATTACAATATTGATTTTAAATTTTAAGACCAATGGCCAGCCAGTGGTGGCAGATTTTAGGTAGGAGAGTGATAAGATAAAATTTGCTTTTTGATAAAATCATCCCAAGTTCTGAGTGAAGATGGAGGCAGGTGTGGGGGCAAGGAGAATCAGGAGGCCATCATGTAGACCAGATGAATGGCAATGGTGGCCTGCAACAGGGCACTAGTGGAAGTAGAGGTCCTGGGAGAGGTCGGAGATGTATCTGGGCGGGCAGTTGGACCTGCCAACCAGCACAATGCACTGGGCTGAGGGGAGCGAGAAGGGGTGATGAACATGATCTTCAGGGCTGCATGGTGGAGGTGAGTGCCATTTCCTAAGATGAGAAATTCTGAAGGAGAATCAGAAGTGTGGGGAGAATTCAGATTTGCTTCTGTGCTGAAACCCAATTTTGAGTTTGAGTTACCTAAACAGAGGGGAAACTCAGCAGTTAGATGGCCACATCCAGAGTTCAGGAGAGACATCTGGGCTGGCCTGTGCTCTTTGTGCAATGTTTGGTTTGAGGCTTCCTGTGCGGAGGCGTGATCTGAACACAGAGCAGTAGTTCACACAATGTGATAACAAGATGGTTTTAGGTGGTAAGAATTATCTCTGCTTCTTGCTACCAAAGATTTTTACCCTGAAAATGGCTGGCCAGGTGCTGGTTGCTATGGCGGATCCATTTACATTTTGATCATGAAGCAGAAGGTGAACCAGCTGAACATTTGGTGCTCTTGACTGGGCTTGGCATTTGGGGTCACTTCTGATAGAAACAAATGAGTCTGAGTTTCTGATTCCAGTGAACATGGTAGTAGGGTTAGTGGTGATTATGATAGTGATGATGGTGGTGGTGGTGATGATGATGATGGTGATGATGATGGTGGTGATGGTGATGATGATGATGGTGATGGTGATGATGATGGTGATGATGATGGTGATGGTGATGATGGTGATGGTGATGATGATGGTGATGATGGTGATGATGATGATGGTGATGGTGAAGATGGTGATGATGATGATGGTGATGGTGATGATGGTGATGGTGATGATGGTGATGATGGTGATGGTGATGATGGTGATGGTGAAGATGGTGATGGTGAAGATGGTGATGATGATGATGGTGATGGTGATGATGGTGATGGTGATGATGGTGATGGTGATGATGGTGATGGTGATGATGGTGATGGTGATGGTGACGATGATGATGGTGATGGTGATGATGATGATGGTGATGATGATGGTGATGATGGTGATGGTGATGGTGATGGTGATGATGGTGATGGCGATGGTGACAATGGTGGTGAGGACATGGTGGTGGGGGTAGGAATGGGCCCAGCCAATACATGTTCAGTAAATTTAAATTTACACCTAATCCTTTGATTTCTATTTTACATGTTCATATTCCCTGGAAAGAGGCAAAAAGGGCTTGTATGAGTGTACTTCAAAAAGTTCATAGAAAAATAGAATGAAAAGATAGTACAAATCTTTCCATGAACTTTTTGAAGTACCCTCATCTGTGAAGCTCTCAGCTTTTTCATATGTAGGATATGTACTTGGTAACCATCTGTTTCCCATCACAATATAGCCACAAACCATTTAATGAGTAAAGGCAGTGTCCTTGGAGGTGGGGATACTCCTGAACATATTCCAAAATCTTTTAATTTTCATTATTACCATATAATTCTTCAATAGATTTAATTTATAGTAAGAAGATGTTTACTTGCATGCCCTAAAAGGACAAATTTTATTAACTGAGGGATGTGGGTTATTATTTGTGTGGGGGGGTGTTTTTTTGTTTGTTCGTTTGTTTTTGTTTTTTTGAGTGCATTTCTTATACATGGCCTATGGGATGCAGAAGTTACTGTGTTCTCTTAGGGAACATAGTGGATTATTTCAAGGGCTTATTACTTTTTGACTTTAAAAATATGGTACTTCTAGGATTGAAAGCTACAGCATGCAGTAATATGCGTGTGTGTGAATCTTTCCTATATTTGGAATGGTCTGATTTTTTTTTGATAGATTGGTGGCTGCTTGGAATTGGAGATGCATCATTAAGTTATTGCATTTAAATTTAGCTCTTGTTCTCACTTTGGAAGGAAATTGAATGTTTGAATTATTTTGCCATGAAGGAAATGCAATTAGAAAATAGATTCTCGTGACTTTTCAATACAGGAGGTCTAGCCAGTGACCCTCAGAGGAGGCTGCACATTGACTCAGAGGAAAAGCTCTCTGACAGTACCTTCCGTATGGAGGAAGTTGAAACTACCTTAAACACACTTTAATGATTACTAAATTCTAAACTCTCCAATGGCAGCATTTTATGTATAAATCTGTAATGGCCATTATTATGAATATTAAATGTTTATTCATAGGCCTGAGTTGGATAACTTACGTCATCAACAACACATTCACAGAGATTGTGTATATGTGTGAGCAGCTTTAAAATCATTTTACCTTGTCAGTTTTCAAGGGCCATAGATGCTCATTGAAAAAAATCACATCTTACAGACATATATAAAGTAAAATGCTAAAGTTCCCCTGTGCATCTTTCCCCAGGGAAGTGAGATGAGGAAGGGCAGCATGTCCATAAAGGGTATGTGTTATCAAGCCGGTGGCCACAGTAGGTGTCAGGGGCTCATCCCTGTGGAGGAACCGTGAGGGACTTGGTGGAGCACACCACGGAGCTATTCCATTTGAGGGATGAGGGAACTGGGATATTTATTCAGGAGCATCCTGTCCACCTGGTTGAGGTGACCTTCCAGGTGCATGCACAGCCTGGCACATCTTGCTTGCCCTGCTCATGGGTGGGGATGGGCCTGGCCAGGCTAAGCCCAGAGGCACAGAAACACAGGTGATGGTGGTAAACAGTTTGATGTGTGTGGAGTTGAATACAAAGGAAATATGGGTGGCCTCCTTACATCCCGCTGACAGCGCTTTCTCCTGTTTATTAACAAGTTTATTATATATAGATACACACACATACAATAACTAGTTAACTAGCCATTCTCCTAACTATGTTTAACTATTACTACCAGAGCTGCTGCAGTGAGCATCTTTGTCCAGGCTTACCTGGGTACACATTACTCTAGAACATGTGCAGATTTGCCTATATTTGTATAAGCATTGAAATACATAGAAAAATTAAATTTAAAAAACAGGAATATGTGTGTAGGTTCACCATAATCTGCTTTTAAAATTCAGTGATCCACCATGGAACTAACATTGCATAGCATTCAACCTGTCTCTCAGTTTTGTATTTTCCATATTTCTGTGTGTACATAGTCTGAAAACCTGACTTTGTGCATGACAGGTGCTTGGTAAATATTTATTGAGAAGAGGAAATGGCCCCACCAGTCTCTTGGAGCTTTGGCCCCCAGCATCTGTTCTTTCATTTCCCTTGTTAGATAAGTCATATTGTTTCTGCTTCCCGGGCATAGTAGGCAGGACTATTTACTCAATGCCATGAGTTCTGGAACAGATTATATTTAAGCATTAAGCAGCATCGGAGAGAGAGAAATTCTGTCTTCTCTACCTCTGTAGAGAATTTTGTGATGATCAGCCTGGGGAAGACATTGCCTAAACCCACCTACCAACCTAATATCTTCTAGTATGTTCTATAGGTAACCAAATAGACAAAAATAATCAGCAAAAGCCAGCCACTGTCATGTATTTATTGGAAATAAATAAAATTATTTATTAGAAAAATTATAACTGGCACATTAACCCATGGTTTTGTGGTAGTCATATAAAGTTTCCTTTTCAATATGTTTATGTATGTAAAACACACGGTATTGTTTTAAAAAAAAGGCTCAGCTAATAGTTGGCACACAGAGATGGTAAAGCGTGTGCTGTTTGGCGAAACCCAGTTACCTACAACCTCAGAGAGGCAAACTTGTGAAAGCGTCACAGGTGCTCTCGCGAGCTGCAGGTGGTTCCTGTGATCCAGGACCACAGTTAAGGTGGCACCAGACGCTGCCACCCTGCAGGTTCCTGGGGCTCATTTGTGGTCAGGACACCAGGCCTATCTGTCTCAGCGTAATGGTATTTGTTCGGAAATGTCTATTTAAAAGGGCTCTTAACATTATTACTTTTCACTACTAAAGCAATTATGTATTTGAAATTCCATTTTGTTTGTTTCTTTTCTTTTCTTTTCCTTTATTTCCTTTTCCTTTCTTTTCTTTTCCCTCCCTCTTTCTTTCTTTCTTTCTTTCTTTCTTTCTTTCTTTCTTTCTTTTTCTTTCTTTCTTTCTGTCTTCTCTCTCTCTCTCTCTTTTAGGTAAACAAGTCAAATGGAAGGGGCTCTGTTGATACTGAAGTCTTAATGCCAATTCCCGTCAGATGATGCATTAGTGCCGTCCTAGGCTTTTAGGGAAATGTGGGTGACGCTGCATGCCGTCCCCATTCCCTGGCCTGGCTCAGCGGTGGCTCCATGCTTGCAGTCAAAAGCAAAAGAGAGTGCAAATGTATTTGGCAAGGGCTTTGGAAATAGCCAGGAAACTGTCACACTTTCAGCTGTGGCACCGTAGGTCTTGATATCGTCGGTTTCACTCTTGTCTCTTGGCACACCCAGACCATGGAGCTTAGTTTGCTTGCTCCTTTTGTTCTTCAGAATAGAGAAGTGCAGCTGCTGATGTAGCTGTGTGCTCAGAAAGGTCTTTGGGGCCTGCTGTGCCCTGTGGTATTA